TATTTTCTGCAGAAGAATGATGAAGTAAGTAGTAACAGGTCCTAGAGGACAGAACAAACTAGGAGAAACTACAAAAAAAAAAAACCACCACCACATTCATTGATGACATAGGCTTGCTGTAAATAATAGGCACTTTACACAAGTTAGTTAAGCCAATAATAGTCCCACAAAATAGGCAGCATCCCCATTTTACAGATTAAAAAACTGAGATTCTGCAAGATTTAAGAAGTGACTTGTTGCCCTGGCCGGTTTGGTTCAACGGTTGGAAAGTCAGCCTGTGGTCCAGAGAGACCCAGGTTGGGTTCCCGCTACGGGCAGGTACCTCGGTTGCAGTTTGTCCCTGGCCCTGGTTGAGTCGTGCGGATGGCAACCACTCGATGTGTCCCTTTCACATCGATGTTTCTCTCTCTCTCTCTCCCTCCCACTCTATCTGAACAAAAATATCGAAAAATGTCCTCGGGTGAGGATAAAAAATAAAAAAAAAGTGACTTGCCCAACGTAAGGAGCAGAGTCGGTGTTCAAACCTTTAGCTGCCAGTTCCAGAAGTCTTTTTGCTTAACAACCTCATCAAATTCCAGAAGAGTCAAAGGGTATAGCCCTTACCAAACCTTTCCACAACCATCCCTTCCCTGTCTTTTTCATCTTGGCTACTCTTTTTTTTTTTTTAAGGAGTCAGATGATTCCAAGTTTTTTTTTATTGATTTTAGAGAGAGGAAGGGAGAAGGTGAGAGAGAAACATTAATGAGAGAGAACATCAATTGGCTGCCTCCTGCATGCCCCCCACTGGGGATTTGGCCCACAACCTGGGCACGTGCCCTGACCAGTAATCAAACTGGCGACCTCTTGGTGCATGGGTTGATGTTCAACCACTGAGCCACACCTGAGCCACAGCGGCCGGGCTACTCTTGAACTGGCCTCCACATTAGCAACCAACAATCTCTGTACCTAACAGCGATTATTCTTTTTTTTTTTTTTGCATTTATCATCAGGTACAGCGAAAGGAAGAGAGAGAAACATAGATGTGAGAGAAACACATCGAGTGGTCGCCACCCACACAATCTCAACCAGGGCCGGGGACAAACTGCAACTGAGGTACATGCCCTTAGTGGGAACTGAACCCCAGACTCTCTGGTCCAAGGGCCGACACTCTAACCACTGAGTCAAACTGGCCAGGGCACAGCACTGTATTCTTGAGCTACTATTGATTGGTGTTTTCAAGACCAAAACAATCTACCCCTCTCCTTTCTCCCCATCTATACCCAAAACAGTATTTAGGTTTATTGTCTAACATTAGATAGAGCTCGGGAAGAAATGCTGAGGTCATCACATACAAACCCTTCATTTTTCAGAGAAAGACTGTGCCTAGAGAGGTTATATAGTCCATTCTCACCATACGGAATTTTGAAAAAATTACACTTATTATCACAGAAGTTTCTTCCTGGACACTGAATGATCATGGTCCCATTTTAAAAAGCTCATTTTGCCCAGCCGGATGGCTCAGTGTATTGAGCGCCATCCCATGCACCAAGAGGTCATTGGTTCAATTCTCAGTCAGGGCACATGCCTGGGTTGCAGGCCTCATCCCCATTATCACATTGATGTCTCTATCTCTCTCTCCCCCTCTCCAAAAAAAATAAAATCAATAAAAACATATTTAAAAATAAATAAAATTAGCCCTGGCCGGTTGTGCTTAGTGGTTAGAGTATTGGCCTGCGGTCCAGAGAGACCCAGTTTGGTTCCCACTAAGAGCACCTCGGTTGCAGTTTGTCTCAGCCCTGGTTGGGGTTTTGGGGGTGGCAACCAGTCAATGTGTCTCTCTCACATCGATGATGTTTCTCTCTTCCTCCCTGTCTCCCTCTCACTCTATCTGAAGATGAATGCAAAAATGTTTTCAGGTGAAGATAAAAAAAATAATAATTAAATTTAAATAAATAAATAAAAAAGATCCTCTTGCCCTGACTGGTTTTTCTCAGTGGTTAGAGCATCAGCCTGCAGACCAATGAGTCATGGGTTTGATTCCAGCCAAGGGCATGTACCTTGGTTACGATTCATCCCTGGCCCTGGTTGGGGTCGTGCGGGAGGTAGCCATTCGATGTGTCCCTCTCACATCGCTGTTTCCCTCTCTCTCCTTCCCACTCTATTTGAACAAAAGTGGAAAAATGTCCTCGGGTAAGGAGAAAAACAAAAACAAAAACAAAAACAAAAAAACCCTTGTGTTTGCTGAAGGAAATAGCATCCCTGTTCTATTCCTCTCAAATCTCTTCCACTAGGGATCCACACCAGCCTTTGCCTCTAACACACTGATTTCCAATACTAAACACAGAGATGGTAAATTTGCTGCAACTGTGCAAGTAAGCTTTTGGGGCTACAGTTAAACTGCCTGGGTCAGCCCTGACCAGTTTGGCTCAGCAGTTAGAGTGTTGGCCTGGGACCAAAGAATCCTGGGTTCGATTCTGGCCAAGGGCACGTACCTCAATTGGGGTTTGTCGCCGCCCCTGTTGGGGTCGTGTGAGTGGCAACCAATAGATGTATCTCTCTCCCATTCATGTCTCTCTCTCTCTCTCTCTCCCTCCCACTGTCTGAAGATAAAATGTAAAAAAACAATAAGTAAAAATATAAAAAATGAACTGCCTGGTTCTAGACTATTCTAAGAAACACGCTGCATATCTTGCTAATCACCAAGTTTGAAGGATTCAAAGATTGAGAAATAGCAATTCTATCTGGGATGGATGTCACTATGTTTGCTTCTGAATGAGTCACGCAGAAAATCAAGCTTGTGAGCTGTGCTACAAAGCCTCTGAAGTCATCAAACACAGACCTGAAACAACACCATAAACATAAAAATAAGCAGGAAAGGTAGCTCAAGGCAACCTACCGTAGCAAGTAGGAACTGGGATGGGAATGAAACAGGGAAAAGCTAGGGACATGGTAGACATCTAGTCAGTAAGCAGTATTTATGACTATTTAAGAAGGCCCATTACTAAGCACAGTGAATGGCACACAGAAGTACAATAAATATTATGTAATGAGTGAACATATTACAAAATGAAACCCAAATTACAAAACGGAACCTAAAGAAGAGATTTCATCCTGGGACTGCATTTGCTGGGAGAGAAAAGACTTGCTCCTCAGTAAGTCTGTGTCCTCATCCTATGAAAATATAGGTAATGGGCTGCTGCATGATTAAATACACTGAACATGGAGTCTGGAAACCATAAACTAGCTGAGCAAGTTCCTTTCACTGTTCTTCACCTCAATTTCCCAATCAGTGAAATGGGAGTAACACCCCCACTTGCAAGGTGTTAGACAAAGCTACAACAACATGCAAAAAGGACGCAAAGCCCACACAGATGCAACTGCCTTGTGCCCAAGATGAAATTTTCAATCACCTTCCAAAAACCTGCTCATCTTTCCCATGTCAGTAAATGTAACTATAGCAATAACTTGGGAGCCGTCCTTGCTCTTCTTCCACATCCAACCCATCATCCAGTCCTATCCATGCTAAGCCCCACATATCACTCACTTCATTTGCACTTTCATCACCTTATTTTAAGGTACAATTACCTCTCACATGAATTATTGCAGCAGCCAAAATGATTTCTAGGCGTTCACTTTTGCTCTTTCCAATTCAAGCAAATCCATCTCCTTAAAAGCACAAGAGAGCCAGAAATATCCATGTGAGAAACATGGATAGGCTGCTTCCTGCACGCCCCACACTGGGGATCGAGACTGCAACTCTGGCATGGAATCGAACCAGGACCTCTCAGGTCCATAGGGCCACACTCAATCTACTGAGCAACACCACCAGCATGAGGCCAAACTCTTAACACCTAGCTTTCAAGGCCTTACACAATTTGTTCCCTGCCTCCTTCTCAAAACACTCTTCCCCTTTCTGACGTTGCTCCAGCACACTGGCTTTTGTGTAGTTCCTCAAATGTGTTATGCTCCCTTCCTGACAAATTCCTACTCATCCTTTGGGTCTCATTCCAAAGTTGGGCCCTCTTTCAATACTTTCTCACAGCAATCTTAAGTACTCATTTATACTTATTTATTTGATTACATAAAAGTATAAAAGCACAAACGGCTATAAACCCAACTAAACTGAAAGCGCCACAATGGTAGTAAGCACTGTTATCTGGGTTCCCCAGAGGGAAAACCGGGTTTGCAGTTTGGGGCCAAATATTTGAATGAACCCAACTAAGGTGAAGACGAAGTGGTTAAATAAAAATCCCTACTCAAAAAGATTAAGTTCTAAATTACATAGCTGCCCGTTTTGCTTCAACACTCTCCCCACCTCCTCTCTGAACAGATCAGAACAAACCATTCATGGGATCCGGTACCTCAAGTCTCAAACCTCAGGTAGCCCCTGCCCCACGCCCCAAAATTCCAGGCCAAAGTGAACACATCTTAGCACTGAAGCGAGAAGGAATGTGTCTCTTTTGTCCCTGCAGGTGACGGGGTCCCAGACCTCCCGGAGGAAATTTCCTAATCCGGACACCCTGGCCGGGCGTCTGAACACTAAGTCCAGGCAGCCATGACGCACACAGGCAGGAACACTTCATCAACTGTCAAGTCGCGAGGAGCTTCTTTCAGGCTTCTCAGAAGTGATTCAAACCGTGCGTCCCAGACCCTCAGAAATCCATTTGATTCAATGAGAGGGGACGGAAAAGACGAGGACCCACGTGCCTCGCCCTTTAAGAAACACCCCCATTCGAGCCTGGCGGGGCTCTGAGTAAACCCTCGCGAGAGCCACCGGACTCCTCCCGCTTCCTCCTTTCAGCTCGCCGGGCCGGAAGGAAGATGAGACTTCCCCGCCCCCGGGCTTAACTCACAAGGCAGCGCGGTCTCAGCTGTGGCCAATCGGCAAGCTTATTGTAAGCCGCAGCACAGAGAGCCAATGGAAAGTCGCGGTGCACGCAAAGCTTTCCCTTTTCCGCACAGGCCCCCTCCCTTCCGCTCGTCGACTTCCACTCAGCCTTTGGCGGAGGAAGTGATGTCACAGGCCCCATGTGAGCTGATTGCAACACATGCAGCTGCCTGGAGAGAGGGAGCCGGTGTCCTACGTCAGAGCCGCCGCCGCGGAGTTGCCGCCGGGGAGGACCAGCCGCTGCCGCCCAGGACTGGGCCCTTAGGTAAGTCAGGGAAAAGGAAAGGCTAGAGACCACGACGGCGCGTCGCTCGGGGCGGGAAGAGGAGGGCCTCTCGGGGGTGTCAAGGAAGGGGGCCGCTCTGCCCCAGTGGCGGCTCTAACTCTGTGGTCTTGGTGTCTCCGGGCCCCGCCGGGCCGCTCTAGGGAGGAGGAGGCGAGAAGATGGCGGACGACCCCAGTGCTGCGGACAGGAACGTGGAGATCTGGAAGATCAAGAAGCTGATTAAGAGCTTGGAGGCGGCCCGCGGGTGAGCGCTGCGTCCGGCCCCCCCGTGCGCTCTGGGTACCCGGACCCCTCAGGATGGCCGCCCCCGCGCCGCATGGCCGGATCAGGAGAACCAAGCACTAGTCAGCTCCCGCCTTCCGGACTTTTGGGTAGTTGTCCCGGACCCAGGGGCGAGGGTCTATGCGATTGGCCCGGGAAGGGGTCCTTCTCCCGCTTGGGGGTAAAGGGCCCGTTCCGGAGCTGGGACCACTCGACCCCCTCATGGGAGGCCACTGCTACTTTTGTACCCCTCCTAGGCTCTTGAATCCGGCTCCTCCCTCTTCGAGCTCCAGGTGCTGCCACCCAACTCGGGTGCTGTTAGGAGAAAGGGCTCGGCCTTCCTTTCCAAACGCCCTTTTTTGATTTTCTCCTTTCCCTTCATGTTCCTCAGTTAGGCTTTATTAAAAATGGCCTCTCCTTCCTGGGCTTCTGGGACTTGGTTGGGTGAAGTTTGGATGGGGCAGGAAGGAGAGGTGGTCAGGGACAACCTCTTTCTGACGTCCCCTGATTTCTTTGAGTCTTACAACTCTCCCAAGATGACTTCCCCCAAATCCTCTAATTACTCTGGAGCTTCCTGGTTTTAACTATTCCAGGACCCATATATAAACTGAAAATGCCAACGTGTGCAGGGTTGGGGGAGTAGGAGAGGTTTTGGTTGATGAATCTATATCTGTATATCCAGGGAAAACGCAGATTACAGGACCGTTGATATGAATTGCAACAACAGGGTTCTTTTTGGCTTCTCTGAAACTTTGGAGCTAGAGGTGCCTGGTGCTTGCTGAAATTCAGAAATGAATTAGGTGGGCTTGAGTCTCCTTTTGTAAATTTTGATAAGAAACTATAGGTGTGTCCACTGTGGGAAGGGTAAACTAGTTTAAAACTGGTTTTATATGCTCTTGAAAAAATTTAAGTATTTCTATTTTTTCACTTAATTTATTTTGTTACTTTCCCACTAGTGGAAACTTTTTACTTACAGGAAGTGGCCCAAAAAAAGAAAGAAACTGATTGGGACTTTACTTATTTGTGTGTCTGGGCATTCTTAGAGTAGAAGAGTGACTGATCCCAGGCCATTGGGAAAGTTTTCAGCCTAGGAATTGAACATTTTGGTTTCCAGCCCAGGTTTGCTCTTGATTGGTAGACTTCCAATGATAACAGTAAGTTCTTAATTGTTATTACTTTATGAAATAAGATGTATTTAGTTCCATAGAAGGCCGAAGGTTAAGACTGGTTTTGCCATTGTCTTTTGTTCTTAATAAATTAGTGAGAATTCTGCTTGAGGTGAAGCTTCTGAAAGTTTGGCCCTATTCAGTGACTTGGGCTTTTGCTCACTCATATGAAGTGAAGTAGCAGCTTATTTTTTGTTCCTTAGGTTTGTTTTTCTTTTAATTTAATAGAATATTCAGACCTAGTTAATAATCTTATAGGAATCTGAACACAAATAGTTCTGTGCCACATGATAAAGTGAATAATTATTCCCCAAGTGTGAGAATACTGTACAGGAGTGGTAATATAGGTCATGACCCATTATGATGCACGACCAGGAATTAGCTGGGTTCTTTTGTTTCACTCGGATCTTTTGTTGTGTTACTTGAATCCCTCAACTGAATATGGCTTTTATAAATTGCTGCTATTGCAGTATTGTTTAAAGTTGGCTGTAACCTGTAGATTTTGTTCTCTTAATTTGGAAGCAGGTTCACACATTAGAATTTACATACATTATATTCTCTGAAGAAGTCTAGACTATGAATTCACAACTATAATTTGCCTGTTGTCTGAGTGAAGTAACATTGAAGAAATAACACTGCTTAATAAGTAACAGCATTTGTTTCTACTGCTTCAAGAAGCTCATTATTAAATTTGTTCCTAGCCACTTGAAATTTTTAAGCTCTCTTTTAAAGCTTTTAAAGGCTTTATCCCTTTGATTAGCAAAGTTTATCTGAGTTTAATTTTTTAAAATTGATTTTATAGAGAGAGGAAGGGAGACAGGAACATCAGTTTGTTGTCCCACACATTCATGCATTCATTGGTTGATTCTTGCATGTGCCCTGACCGGGGATGGGACCCGCAACTCTGACTCATGGAGATACCAGCTGAGCTTTCTGACCAGGACCATTAAAATTTAAATGAAGTTCTTACACACCGCTTTTCTTCCAAGTGATGGAGTTAGTTTGGAGTTTTAGACTGGAATAAGTTGTTAAAAATGGCTGGGGAGTAGTCTTCCTCTGAACGAACAATGTGGTTGATAATCATGTCCTACTTTGCCTGCTTTGCTTTTATTCAGGATTTAGTTGCACCTTGAGCCCATGAAAATTTAAAATCTTGGCCATCCCTAGGTATCAGTAAGGGAGTCACAAGTTTATTCTATTTGTTTCCAAAGTTTTCCAGTACATACCACTTTCTTTTCAGGAATAGCAAGATTGTATTTTCATGGCTGAGTTGTGTTACAGTTAGACTCAGATTATCTTAGTGTACAGTGAGAATGCTTTTTCTTCTTTACCCAGTGCTAAAATATTCAAGGAGAAACGTAATGGATTTCAAAGACAAACTGGATGGCCAAAATGAATCTATATGTGGTGGTGTTTTGGGGGTAGTCTGGGTTTCAGGAGAAAACTGAGGTTGTGTTCAAGTGTGGTTATTAGCACTAGATAGTGAATCTTAGTGGTGGATTAATAGAATTGTTGGGTTGAAAGTGGTGTTGCATGTATAACTTGAATTTAGTTGGGTGGGACATCCCTGTTTAGTTTCAGATAAGTCTGTTTGAATTTTTCTGTGTGTGCTAGTAAAATAACCAACCAATTCTTTTGCTGTATACATAAGTCCCACTTAAAATTAATTGTAGTCTCCTCCTGATTTATTATTGTTCCTGATATATTCTCCACACTTGGTATAATGAGGATAAATGTGTGCATAAGCTAAAACTGGAACTAGGACCATGTGAATAGAATTGTGGTTGCAAGTATTCTGAATAAGAAACTAAAACAGGTGAATGGTAGGTGGGCAATTTTGGTGGTGGTTTTTTCCTGTTGTTTGCTGAGCCAGCAGGAAATGGTCCCAGGAATAGTGTTGAAAGCTTTATAGTTTTCAGGGAGTAAGCTCATAACCAGAGCCTGTTTTAACCAAGGACAGTAGTGAAAGTGATAAAGGGACAGACGAGGTTAATTTGGACTAAGTTGTGTTTGTAGGTGTTAGAAATATTTGTTCACTTATCTTCAACAGGGAACCTTCTATATTTCAGATATAATGAAGGTTCCACTAGATAACCCATGTTTGAAGATCAGTGCAGTTTGTAGACTTCATTTAGGTGTTGCCTGTGGTCTTAGGGCTTTTTAAAAAAAATCCTCACCTGAGGACACTCTTCCATTCATTTTCAGATAGAGTGGGAGGAAGAGAGAAACATTGATTGATTGCTTCCCACACTACCCTGACCAGGGCGGGGACCAAACCATAACTGAGGTACATGCCCTTGACTGGAATTGAACTCTCGACTCTTTGGTCCTCGGGCTGACACTCTAACTGCTGAGCCAAACCAGCCAGGGGGGTCTTTGGGTATTTTTAGAGCTTACTATTTAGTTAAAAGTAACCTGTAGCCCGGCCGGTGTGGCTCAGTGGTTGAGTGTGGACCCATGCACCAAGAGGTCGCCAGTTAGATTCCTGGTCAGGGCACATGCCCAGATTGTTGGCCAGATCCCCAGTGGGGGGCATGCAGGAGGCGGCCAGTTGATGGTCTCTCTCATTGATGTTTTTTCTCCCTCTAAAAATCAATAAAAGAAAATAAATTTTAAAAATGAAATAAAATAACTTCTAGATACCTAGACTTTGAAGGAAATAGAAATTACCTGGCTGTACATGACTGTCTTTCCTGGCCCCAAATATAACTCGGAGTGGGGAGGGGGACTATTCTCAATAATTGTGATACCAAATGTGTGGATTTTCCCCCCACACCAAGGAGTTCTCTACTTCTTAGTGATCACCAGCTAGCTGAGTGTCCTACAGTTCAATTCTTTTCCAACACTACCTGGAATTAACATCAGATTCCACAAATTAAAGGGCTCAGTTCCGCAAGACTGCCCTACTTGAGAACCTGACCTTTCTTATTTCTGATCCACAGGCTATAAATGGGGGTTCAAGCCCCGCTGGTGTAGCTGTTGGATGAGAGTGATCCCGTGCACTAAGAGGTTCACAGTTCGCTTCCCTGTCAGGATACATGCCTGGGTTGGGGCTCGATACCCAGTAGGGGGAGTTTCTATCTCTCTCCCACTCCCTTTCTCTCTAAAAATCAATGAACATATATATTTTTTAATTGAGGGTTCAATAATTTGCTAGAATGGCCCACAGAACTCAGGGAAACACCTGTGTTTACTGGTTTATTACAGAGGATACTATAAAAGATACAGATGTACAGCCAGATGAAGAGGTACATAGGGCATGGTCCAGAAGAATCTGAATGTGGGCACTTCTACCCCTGTGGAATTGGAGTACACCACCTGAGTTTACCAACTTAAAGTTCAATACATCTTGTTCAGGAATTTTATAGAACTTAATCTGCAGCAAGCCACTTCCCTTTCCCCTCCCCTGAGGTCCATGGACTGAGCTGAAAGTTCTAATCCTGAATTCACTTGTTCTTTCTGGTGACCAACTCCGCTCTGAGGTTATCCAGGAGTCCTACGCTGTCACTTAATTAGCATAAGGAGATGTGCTCCAAAGGGACTCTTTATGAATAATACAAGCACTCCCCTCCGTGAATTCTAAGGTTTTTCAGGAACTTTGTTGAAAACCTTAGAATTTCCTGGTTTGGGGGTAGAAAGGGCAAAGACCAAATTTCTTTCCTTTTTTTTTTTTTTATCCTCACCCGAGGACATTTTTCCATTTTTTGTTCAGATGGAGCAGGAGGGAGAGAGAGAGAGAGAGAGAAACATCGATGTGAAGGGACACATCGAGTGGCTGCCACCCGCACGACCAACCAGGGCCAGGGACAAACTGCAA